TCGGATCTTAGACTACCCGGTTACATTTTCCTAAGACGGTGTTATATATCATTTTGAAGCCCGTGAAATTCTCTATCACATAATGTATAAAGTAGAGTGCTAACGGCAAAATCAATGGATACTATAAACATGAACGACGTTGACCTACCGGTTTCCTGGGATGCTACCGAGTATTTCGAATCTTAGAGTAGCCAGTTAGATGTACTTATGGCTATCTCATATATCATTTTGTAGCTCGTAAAACTCTCTATCGAACGGTGTATAACAATTGATATTTTGCTCTGGGTGAAACAGGTTGAATGATGTGAATACTTTCAGTAAATGTCGTTTAACGCGAGAAGAGTTTTTCTGCTAAAAGGTTTTCAGGGGCGCTGAGAAGGATTTTTAAGATTTAAAAATATGTTTGCATTAATCGTGGACAAAGACGGCATCAGATGAGTAAACGTAAGACTGATTTGAGCGTGGGCCGATTTTGCCTGTTATCATCTCCCGTTCTTTTCAAAAATAAATCGAGAAGAACATGGCACAGTCAAAAAAACTGCTACTATTTGTATTTTGAATAGTGCTTAAAAGGAGAAAATGCTATCAGAGATTCAATTATTAGATTTGTGGAGGATTAAATTTTCTATCGAAAGAGCTGTTTTTGAATTTCACGGGCTTCAAAATGATATATAACATCGTCTTGGGAAAACGTAACTGGGTAGTCTAAGATCCGAAACAAGGAGCGATGAGACATGAGGGTGAATTCTATGGAATAAAAGTATTATATTTGGAATCAAGCTTGATTGCCGAAGAAGGGTTTCGACTAAGTGAAGGTAAACGATTTTTACATGGTAAAGGTATTTATTCAACACCTGATATCGAAATAGCAAAAAAATACGCCTCAAAATTCACATATGAGAATGAAACATATTTATGCATCGTTCAGAATCGTGTTAATCCGAAACATCTGCAAGTATTTGACAAAGCAAAAACAAAACTTTAGATGTGATGCATCGTCCGTCCCTCTTTCGATTCTAAAACTGCCAAGAAGAAAATAGTTCAACTTTGAGACAAAAAAATAAATTTTCTTCTTCGAATGCTCTTCTTCTCTCGAAAACTGCTGTGTGATGACAATAGTCTAATAGTTAGTCTACTTCTATTAACTACAACAAAACCCCAAAAAACACTGACAGAAAAACACTCGTTGCACTGCGTTAAAAGGTTAAGAAATGACTAACTGGCTTGTATTGTATATCTATTATATACGTTAAAAGAGAACAAAGAATAAACACAGTGGACGATAATATACCCAAGTCAACTTTCGCGATGAAATCGCGACGCGACTCGCGCTAAAAAATCGTGCGGCGATCGCTATAAGACTCGCGAAATAAGACGCGATTTTAGCGATCGCTATTTGTCGCGATATACTACTGAATGGGATGTATATTTGCTATTCTCGCGATGTGATCTTCCATAGAATTACACACACTGATATTGTCGCGCCGCGATCCTTGCTTGCGCGACGGGAGTCAGCGCGACTCGCTATTTGTCGCGGTGTGAATCCCGATGTCGCGACGCGAACCCGGTTGTCGCGGCGTGATTTTAAATGCATTCGCTATTTTTCTTTTCTTTGAAGTCGTACAGTCATTATTTTCGTTACTAGGATAGTTTGAAAGCTATTTTGCTTGCTGCCAAATTGTTTTTAACGTCTCTAGGCACAAAGCATAGATCTGTAGGCGGTATTACTGATAGCTGGGAAATGGCTAAATCCTAACGAGCACAAAGATCCATTAAAAATTCGCCATTTATAGTCAATGCAAATGAATATTTTTAGGGTCTTGTGCTTGTACATGATTATTTGAAACATAAGTGACCGTTTTGGCTAAGAACACTAAGCAAAACATTTAATAGTCTGTTAAGTTTTCACATGAAAAAGTCGCTGTTTTTTAATACAATCTTTTTTAAAATGAAAATAAAGCAACTTTAGGGAATTTACATATCTATTTATTATTTTTCTTATATAATAAGCTCGCTGAGTTTAGTTTTAGTATTAGAAAAACTTCACATTTTGGTCAAAGAAAATCTAGTAAATTTTCAAATACAGTTAATCAGAAACTATCAGCGCTTAGTGAGACATATAGTGACATAAGCTTTTGAAAAACATTTTCGCTAGACTACCGGTTCGAAGCTAATAAAATGTATAAAACTTGATTTTGCTAATTCTTAAATAATTCCATAACACCTATTTGTTTTCTATTTTAGTTTGTCAAACGTTGCACAACGGCTTAAGTGAAGAAGAACTGCGAGATATATTAGGCAAAAGTAAATAATTATCGT